TTCAGCTTGTTTGTGGGCATGAGCATGTTGTCTTTGGTGGAGATCATATACTACTTCACAGTTATACTGCGCAAGAATTACATTCAGGAATGCCGCGCACGTCAGAAGTTACAGAGTTGGCACAAACGACCAAACTTTGCCTGGCCCCCTCACAAAAGTAGCACTCGGCAGAAATCTGTTTTCTATATCTCAGGTCGTAACTAATCAGCGTGCGATTGATAAGCACTTCGGACATCAGCCATATATTAAAGAACTTGAATAAATGTACGGCAACGTAAAAGTGTAATACATGTGCACAAATACCCTAGAAATTTATTCTGGAAAAATATTTTATTTAAGCTTTGCAACTTTAGATCCGGCTTAGCTACAATTAATTTGGCAACATTTCGAGAATTTTTAGCAAAGGCACTTAAACGTTCTTAGCAACATTTAGCTTAGGCCCATTTGGAGCTTTGCAACTTTTATCATAGCTTTTCAGCACCTCCAGCTTAGCAACACTTTGAGCTTTTTCATACAAATATTCAGCAGAGCTTTGCAACAATTACCCATCCGCATCAATCTAAGCCCTTGGTTTCAAAGTACTTCCTTGAAGCTTTGCAACATTTAACTTGAATGCAGACTCAAATTCCCACCAGTCATATTTTGAGTTTTGTAGCATGAAACACACACAGAGTACAATATGAACATGGTAAACACCGGCAAATATATATGTACATTAAAAAAAAAATTATTTGCAACATTTCTGCCGTCTAGCAACAGCAACACTTAGCAACATTGTGCCATGCCTCAACTTTCAAAGTATTAGCAACAAAACCAGCAGTTGCCTTCAATTACAAATAAATAATTACTTTTTGATCTAATTTAAAATGAATTTATGAAATGAAAATTATATTGTTAAAAAAAAATGAAATGAATTAAAGAGCGACTGATTGTTAATCGATAGTTCATTCAGGCTATGTATGCACTTAAATCTATCGCATAACAAACACTTAAAATATCGATTCAAACTAAAATTCAAATATAAGCAAATATTAACAATTTGTTATCTTTCCAATTTAATAAACTTAAAACAACATTCTAAATAAATTGTATCGTGGTTAAATAAGTTTGTCATAATCACAGAGTATATTTTGGCTGCTTCAAAGTTCGAACGAATGTATTGTAAATATAAATACAGTTAGCGAAGCTTCTCTGCCAGGCATATCAATATTTATTATCGCAAATACACATATTTTGGCTGGTCATCTGAGTCATGTTGTTGTTCGAAGACTATTACCATAGGTCAACATGACAGTTAGCTGCGGCCGTCATAAATTCGCGTAAAATTCGCCATTGGTCGGGCAGTAAATTGGCTCCACACGAAGCCTGTAAATCCCTGGTCAGGTGCTGATTAGATTAGCAGGCGTATGTATATAAGAGCGGATCGTCGCGTGGCTTTCAGTAACAGTTCTTGGCCATGCTTAAGTTAACGTTAGTCTGTTTGTTAGCCGGGTTGGCGGTGGCCCAGCACAGTCCCCACTGGTGGGGCAACCGCAATACCATCGTGCATCTCTTTGAATGGAAGTGGGCGGACATAGCGAAGGAGTGCGAGGACTTTCTCGCTCCGCATGGCTACGCGGGCGTCCAAGTGAGCCCCGTGGCCGAGAACATCGTGTCCGAGGGTCGTCCATGGTGGGAGCGCTATCAGCCCATTTCCTACAGGTTGATCACACGCTCCGGCAACGAGCTCGAGTTCGCCGACATGGTGCGCCGCTGCAACGATGTGGGCGTCCGCATCTATGTGGACGTTCTGCTCAATCACATGTCCGGCGATTGGGTGGGCACTGCCCGAGGCACTGGCGGATCGGTGGCTGAGCCCAGTAGCAAATCATTCCCGGGCGTGCCCTATACACAGCAGGACTTCCATCCTAGCTGCGAGATCCACGACTGGAACGATCGTTTCCAGGTGCAGCACTGCGAGCTGGTGGGCCTCAAGGATCTCGACCAGAGCAGCGACTACGTGAGAAGGCAGCTGATCGAGGTGCTCGATCACCTGATCACCCTCGGCGTCGCTGGCTTCCGCGTGGATGCGGCCAAGCACATGGCTGCCAGTGATCTGGAGGTGAGACTTGGAGTAGCTGGAGCTGGAACAGTCCAGTATTTAACTAGCATTTCAGTATATTTACAGCCACACGCGCAACCTGAACACAGACCACGGCTTCCCCCACAACGCACGGCCCTTCATCTACCAGGAGGTCATCGATCATGGCCACGAGACGGTCTCGCGGGATGAGTACACGCCCCTGGGAGCCGTCACCGAGTTCCGTTTCTCAGAGGAAATCGGCAAGGCATTCCGTGGCAACAATGCGCTGAAATGGCTATCGAGCTGGGGCACCGACTGGGGATTCCTGCCCTCGGAGCAGGCGCTGACGTTCGTGGACAACCACGACAATCAGCGCGACGGCGACCAGGAGCTGAACTACAAGTCGCCCAAGCAGTACAAGATGGCCACCGCCTTCCATTTGGCCTATCCCTATGGCATCAGCCAGGTGATGAGCTCCTTTGGCTTCGATGATCGCGACCAGGCGCCGCCCCAGGATGCCCAGGAGCGCATCATCTCGCCGGAGTTCGATGAGGACGGCGGCTGCATCAACGGCTGGATCTGTGAGCATCGCTGGCGCCAGATCTACAACATGGTGGCCTTCAAGAACGCCGTCCGCGGCACCCAGATGAACAACTGGTGGGACAATGGCGACAACCAGATTGCCTTCTGTCGCGGCTCCAAGGGCTTCGTCGCCTTCAACAACAACCTCTACGACCTCTCGGAGACTTTGCAAACCTGCTTGCCCGCGGGCGAGTACTGCGACGTCATCTCCGGCAACTTGGTTAATGGCGCCTGTACGGGCAAGTCGGTGAAGGTGGACGGCAATGGCTATGGCTACATTCACATCGGAGCCGAGGACTTCGACGGCGTCCTCGCCCTGCACACGGATGCGCGCCTGTAAGGGCCGAGCAAATAATAAAAGTGGATATTCCAAGAAGTAGTTCTTTTTTTTTTTCAAATAACGACATTGAATCGGGATTTATTTCTCAATTGTTACAATAAAACGCACATAAACTATAATTTTGGCGAAACGAATGGCCACACAAACACATACATATACATATATATACTTATGATAAGTTCGATAGCTCGATAACTGCAACGATAACGATAGAAACGTATAAAGTATAAACTTGAACTGTAAAGAACACGTTTTCAACTGCAACTCTCTCTATTTCACTCTCTCCTCTCCCCTCTCTCACACTCAATATCTATATATAATTATTTGTGATAAAAATGCATATGGCCACGCCTGCGCATTCCACATCCAATAAATCCGCTAGGTAAAATGTCTGTAAATAGAAGAAAGTCGCATTTGTGAAATTTGTAGTTGGCTGTTTTCTCCTCTGTCCCGCTCTCGCTCTCGCTCACTCCCTCAGCTGACACACAGTGAGAGAGAGAGAGAGTGACAGAGGGAGCTATCTGTCAAGCGCTCGCATACACAGGCAAATCAAAATTGACATCGCTTTCGAGTACTACGGATTGTTGTCAAGCGTTTCGTTTTAGTTTTWAAAAACAAGCAACTACAAATCAAAATATAGCAACATTTCAACTACTTGCATTCATGTTAGTTGTACGAACAAAATTGTTTTGGGTTTGCACAGCAGGGTTTATCATATATATAGTACATACATATGCATACTCTATGCCGATGCAGATGTGGCTCATGTTGTTGTTGTTGTTGTCAATGTCGTGTAAGTACAATAAATATATTAATAGATGTATATAGTATATAGAATTAAATGCTTTATATGCGTAAATACCTGTAAAATGTTGATATCATTTTCTTTTGCTTTGCTTTTGCATTTCTGGATTTTTCATTGGTTTATCTAAATTATGCTGACAGCTGCTCTTAGTTAATAAACTTAYGAATTTCTTAGACACCACATAGATTGCTTAAGTTTAGTTTCCTCTTTCTCTCACAAACAAACATGAACAATACGAAATATGAATCATTTCATATTGTATTCTTGTTTGTTTTTTTTTTTTTTTTTGACTCTTTATATATAAATTTTTAACTTTTAAAATATTTTTCGGCACAAAAGTTTTTCTTTTAAGATTTAAGTACGGCCCCAAATCCAGCTTTAGATTTACTTTAACATATGCATGTGTGTATACATACATATATAGGGTATATATAGCAAATGCCTAATATAATTTAAATTTGATTTAACGATTCTTTCCTTAGTTAAGTTTAGTTTAGTCTTAAGTTTAAACAATAAACGTTGTCCCTTGCAATAGCAGACTTTTATACATCAAGAATTGATCATTTAACAATATTATACATGTATAAATATATGTAATAGCTAGTCCATCAAAATTTGTAATACATATTTATACATATATTTATATCTATATAACAGGAACCACGTAAAATGCGCACATACTCGTAATATTTGTTCACAATATACCACAAACATTACAACATTGAGTTATTAACATTAATGCAAGATCATATATATATATGTATAAGTATAGATAAACATTTATCAGGTATACATATAAATGTTCTCTTTTAATTAGTAATCAGGTAAATCGTGGGAGGAATTATTGTTTCACATATATTTTGTAGATTTTTTAGAATTTCTTTGTTTGTTTGTTATTTATTTATTTATTTATTTTTTTTTTTTAAGATTTTTCAAGCAGCTTAGCAACAAATTTGTAGTGTAAATTTTCATTTGTACCTCGCAAGCATGAGCCGAGCGTTATCCTTGAAGATGATTAAATGTTAATGAAGTGTGCTAGCCTACATGTAAAAATGATCTAACTTAGCCTATACATTATATATCTATATGTATATAAATAGATTTATTCAAGGACTCCTCATTTACAAATACAAATACCTAGCATAGAGTTTTGAAACGGCCTAAAAACCAGAACCATTTTATAAAGTTTGATCTTCGCATTGAGTTTCTGTAAGAACTTACGACTAGAGGGTTGCCGAGGGGGTTGCTTGTGGCAAATCCTTGGATTGAATAACACTTAGATTGTCGAAAAAAACTGTATGCCTGCGACAAATATATCGTCTCACAGCGCACACACAGATTGCTGCCTGGGATTGAGATGTCGATCAACAGATACACATGGGTTGCTGACTCAGGTGAGGAACGAACATTGATTAAAGTTTAAGAAACATTTCCCTATCTCTATCATTGGGGGCTTCTCTAAATATTTGATTAATTCGTGCCCTCGATCGCCGTTTAGAAACTCTTGCCCGCATCGTGGATGCGCTTGCGGCGACTATCCCGGCGCCGATAGCGATCGATGATGCGCGAGCGATGCCGCTCCGGGCACAGCGCCTCCGGAGAGCTGTCAACCTTCTTCATCACGATGCGGAATGTGAACGTGTGCTTGGGCGAGGCGCTGGCCGCCCGCCGCGGCGAGGGCGGCTCGAACTCGCTGCCGCTGGAAAAGCCACAGGAACCCAGCGAGGCATTCGCCGGGCCTACGCCAATGCCCATGGGCATGCCGACGCCCGTGCCAGAGGCGGGCACGCCAGTCACTCCGCTCAAGGCGCTCGGTATGCGTGGAGCGCTGGTGTAGCCGGAGGCGGAGGGCGTGGACATGGAGCCCGTGGAGAGCTGTTGGGTGAGCACCGAGCTGGGCCGCGGCTCGAAGATCGAGGCACAGCGCGCATCGGTGCACAGGAATGTCTTGACCTCCTCCTCGCGCTGCTTGATGGTCAGCGGAAAGTGCTTCTTGCTGGGGTCAGCGTAGGGGCTGCGCTGCGGCTCATGACCGTGCGGATAGGATGAGCTGGAGTCGTAGCTGTCGCGCGAGCTGTAATTGGAGGAGGTCTGCTGCGAGAGCGGGCTGCGTGCCCGCGAGAAGGCACTGAAGGGCGAGATGTGCAGCTGGCGGAAATGTTCGGCCTTCTGCTTCTTGGTCATGGGGAAGTTSGGGGATCGAGCCGGCGTCATGCCGCTCGTCTCCGAMGGCGTGTARTCGAAGTGGGTCTCCAGGGAGGACTTGCGACCGCAGGAGGAGCCGGATCGCTGAAAGGTTTCCGCATCGACGAGCTCAATCGAGCTCTTGCGCAGATCAATGTGTCGACGGCGATCGTCCGTGTCGACGATCTCGAAGCTAGAGGTCTGATCCTCGTAGCTGGTGGACTGATAACGGGATATGGACACATCGAAGCTGGTGTCGCGCGAGGAGTAGGGGCAATCGAAACTGGATTCGGCTCGACTGGACTTGCGATCGCCGTCGACCATCTCAAAACTGTCGCCGCCGGAGTCCAGACGCTGCAAATTGATCAGATCTGTGTCCGTATCGACGCCCGGACTGCGTAGCTGTTCCAGGAACGGCGAGCGCGGCGGATCGAAGGACGAACGACGCGATGGCGGCTCAAACTCAATAGTAGGACACTGCAGCGGCAGCTTCTCGGGCGCTGACGGTGCCGCCGCAGCTGCAGCTGCAGCTGCTTCCGCCACAGCGGCGGCTGCCTCTGCAACGGCACGTGCCACCGCCTCGGCCTCCTCGATTTCGCGCCGCAGCGCCTGCAGATTAACATAAACTGGCTCTGGTGCATAGGCTTTCAAAATCTCCGTTAGCTCCGCGCGCAGATCGTCGGGTATGATCAGATCATTCGAGTCGGACTCACGCTCCTCGCTGATACGCGGCTCGATGGGCTCCCGGCTCTCGGAGCGCCGCGTGAAGTGATGGACAGCCGGTGCTCCGTTCTCGCCATTGAGTGCGACCACCTTCAGGGAGTTGGTCACTTCCTCGACGAACTGCGCCATGGCTGCATCCGGTTGCTCCGGCTCGCCCTCTTCGGGCTCGTCCTCGGCCTCCAGTTCGGGCTCGACCAGTTCGCGGAGTCGCTCATGCTTGATATAGGACTCACCTACCTTCTCAAAGTGCACATTCGCCAGCTCGAATGGCAGCTCCTCCTCTGCTCCGCTTGCACCTACCTGATCCTGTACGTTGCCCGCATTCGAGTCCGTGCTGGCTCGCTTCGACCCAGACGCCGAGCTGACCGCCGATGACTTTTGCTGCTGCTGCTGTTGTTGCTGAGGCTGATGCTGCTGCTGCTGTTGTTTCTCCTCCTCCTCCCGACGGGCCAGACGACGCAGCTTCAGGGACATCTTCGTGTAATGCGCAAACTTGAGCGACATCTTCGGCTCGAAGCCCACCTCGGACATTTGCTTCTGCACGGCACTCTTGGCGGCCGTCGACGAGGCAGCCGGGCTGGCCGAGAACGTGCTCTGCCGTATGAGCGGTCCGCTGGAGGAGCCAGACTCGGCCCGGGTGAACGCATTGGCAAAGCGATTGGTGCGCGTCGTCAGGTGCTTCGATGGTTTGCGCACAAAGGCCAGGATCTCTCGCATAACGCTCTTCTTTTCGGGCTGTGGCTGGGCCTGGGCGGCTTCCTTTTCTTTCTCCCGAGCAGCCGCCTCGGCTGCCTCACGTTCGCGCTCTGCACTCTTGTAGGTCTCGGCGGGATTGGACACTGTAATGGGCGGTATGGGTCCCATGGGACTTCGTTTCTCGCTGGCAAAGTAAATGGGCGTGAAGAGACTTATCGAGTTTCGCTTCAGCCCAATGAAGCCGGTCTCCTCCGGCTCAGTGGCCATGTCCTGCACGTGCACAGTGGATGTGGGACTGCGTCTCGTGTTCGATGGCCCCGCCTGGCAACTGAAGTCCGAGGGTGCGACTGCGCCCAGGGGCGAGCGGCGCTCCTGCGTATGGATCTGTATGCTGAAGGTCGGGCTGCGTCGCTGAGAGTCCCCTGTGGGACTACGCGCCGTCGGACTGGGCTGCTCATTCGGGGACCTCAGGCCGCTGCTGGGAAAGAGCGGGCTGCGGCGGCCCTGCGGACTGCGATCGTTGAGACCCGCCGGACTGCGCCGACCCTGGCTCTGAGCGCTCAGCGAGATGGACAACTGGCCGCTGTTCTTACGTCGACTGGAGGCACGCAG